TTCTACTTTGTGAATCTTCTGGACAAAATGACAGCCTCTGTAAAGTAGTCAGAACCACTGGTGCTGTAAAAATATTGACACCACACCAAGTATTTTTTTCAGGGGTGGGGAATGCTGTTTGGTGACTTTAGCTTAGAAGGTCTTTATTTACAGCCTTGTATAGGAAGAAAGGGATTGCAAGATAAAAGTAGAATTGTTCAACTGCCTCACATAAATAGGTTACTTCAGCATCTTCTGTCATCCAACTCCCCCCTAAAGCCTATGAAGCAATGGTCAAGGAAATTAAAATTACAAGTATAGGATGTTGGGCCATACAAGAAGGAGGTCAAAAAACTCACATCTTTTTAGGATAGGAACCAGGTGGAATATAATTTGGAATTACAATATTTCAGTTATTCTGTTTCTAAATGCAGAAATTTAGAAATAATCTATTAAATATATTTTTGAATATTTATTTTGATGCTTTTACTGGCCCCAGCAGACCCCTTTGATGTCAATGGGATATATGTTGAAAATGACTGTAGAATATTGTTGGGGGGGGGGGGAATTGGCATGGGAGACACGAGAACGGTCAATAAAATAGCAAAATAAAACTTACCTCATTGTGTCGTATTTTACTAATCCTGTAATGACTTCAAAGGAACTTTTGCTTGTCAGGATTGCAGGATGGGATTCTGAATATAATACATGGAAAACCTACTTTCTGCCCTTCCCTCCCCCTTCAAAATGCAGGTATTACGTAGGTTTTGTTGAAGCTCCTTCACATTTTTCCAGCTATATATAGTTCTGCATTGTTATCAAAACATCTTTTCAATAGATTTTAGGTGTTACAATTGAGGGAATACATCTTTTTTGTTGTTTCTAAAGCCTTTCAAAAAAGAGAAATGATTATAGTTCCATATATATCCTCAATGTATCACACAAAATTCATGCAAAGCCTAAAACAAGCATCAACTTCACACTATGATAGATGGATTTATGTAGCTAAAAAGAAATGATTTGTTTTTTTTCTTTGTACTGCCTTTTAAATAGAGAAGAAATTCTTCCTCCCACCCTAACATAGGCAGCTGCCATTCTGAGTTTCTTTTCAAATGCAGAATGTTACAGAATGAGACCATGCAAACACTTAAGCGTGCGCTTAACTTTTAAGCGCAACGGTGATTCTCTTTCTCTCATATTTTCTCTCATATTCTTTGTTTATTACTCTGAAGCAAAATATTGAAATTTTGCATGTTCTGTATGGAAAAACAGCACAGAGTATGTATATGTATGATTCTTTGGAAATGCAGTTTATCTCCAATCTCCTACTCCACAAGGAAACTCCCACTCCAAATGAATTTCAGTCAGTTACCTATTATAAATTGGAAAAAGATGCACAGTTTCCTTTTTAAATACCCAGAGCTCTCTGATACAATCAGCCAAGGCTCTGATTCTTCCCCCATTCAAATTAATGGCAAAACTCACATTGATTTCAATGTGTATGACTGGGTCTTAAAAGAAACAAAGAAACATATTTTTAAAATTAAGAAATGGTATTCTTGTGTAAATAAACCAAAAACTTGCTTTTCTGTAATTTTTAAAAGAGAAATGTTATGTTAATGTTAGGAATGTAGAGAATACATTGTATTAGTGCCAACATTTTAATGCTTCTGATGCCCTCAGCAACATTTTGAGTAACACTAGAGAGTTTTTCAGCAGGTATACAAGTAAATAAAAACCTTAAGATATCATGTCACTTGAAACTGGTAAAAAACTAGTAAAAGCAGCATGCCTGTCATATTGTTAGAAAGAAATTGTTAGAGTCATTGAAGTGAAAGTATTTTGTGTAGGTCCTTATACTGTGCTCATCACTGTAGTATTGGAGTACCTTCCAACAGTGCATTTAGCCATGTGACCTTCAGATGCATACTAGTCACTCTCCATGCTGAGCTATTCTCTACCTATTAGAGCAGGCATTCCTGGCCCTTATACTGCAAGCTTGAATACTAGTGTGAAGGAGGCTAGGGGTGAATAGAGGGTAGAAGTAGTCATGGCACATGAACCTGAACCCCTATTACTGATGGGTATTTCCCCAAAACTAATTACTAGTTACTACTTTCTTTATTGTAGGAATATTTGAAGATGTATACATAAGATAGCTGGCATTGACCAAGATGGGCATTAGGGCTACTAGCAGTTCATAGGTCAATCTTGCTGTTCTTCACCCATCCATCTCCCCTCTGATTGACACCACTGGTACTTAAGAGCAATTCCAGTGGTCCCTTGTGTGAGCACAAGACCTTACATTTAGCAAAACTGCTTTATTTCTACTACAGATGGGAGCAGAAATTAGAAGAGGCAACAATCCTTACTCTTAATAATTTTAGTAAGTAAGAACCAGCAATATTATTGAGTCTTGTATAGTGCCAAATAATCTTACAGTGCAAAATACAGCTAAAGTTAGGAAAAGAACAGGAGTACTTGTGGCACCTTAGAGACTAACAAATTTATGAGAGCATAGGTAAGATGCTCTAATAAATTTGTTAGTCTCTAAGGTGCCACAAGTACTCCTGTTCTTTTTGAGGATACAGACTAACACGGCTGCTACTCTGAAAGTTAGGAAAGATTCCCAAGGAGAACCGACATGGTTGTAACTGCATTTTTAAATCATCAGCCCTACTCTAGTTACATGTTGGGATTGAGCATTTGACTGACCTGAGTTACTGTTTGTGGACCTCTTAAAAAGAAGTGAGTCTTTAGGAGTGACTAGAATGAGAAAATGAGAGCCTGGTACACTGGGCTAGTGAGGTTGCCCTAAGCATAAGGGCATATCATGAAAGAAAGCACAAAAACAGTAGCAGAAGACATTGTGCTAGAGCAATCGGCAGTAGTGGACACTGCCCATTTTTGCAGGCACCTGAGATCCAAATTGCAATTTAAAGTAGGATCTTTCTCCCAACCCTTTGAACTTCTTGCAAGCAAAATTCTTAGTTTAGACTTAATTGGCTGGGTTGGATTCATCTCCTAAGCTCCAATGTCTGGGGACCATATTCTTCATATTGGCAGTCAGAAGGAAAACTTTGCATCTCCTACCACTTGACTTTACTTTTTGGTTGTTAATGAAAAGCGCTTTAAGAACTAGACATTATTCTCTAGAAACTGTACCTTTCAGAAGGGCTGAATGGTACTGTACTTTAGTCATGCTGAAATCATTAAGACTCGTTATTGTTGTGCTGCTGTTATATAATTTTTCCTTTTGGTGTATACTTAATGCTGATCAGGAGATTAAAAACGTACAGAAGAGGTACTTGCATTAGTCTCAATGGGCAGTGGTTGTTTTAAACTGAAGGGAACAAATAGGTGAAGAAACTATTACAGAAGGCAAACTAGCTCACAGGATATTTGTACCTACGTACCCTCGGTGCCAAAGTTTTACATGTTTTGCTAGGAAACTGCTTAAGTGGTATAATGATCTTAGGTATTTTTCAGACTAGTACACTATCATAAGAAAAATTATGCTCCTATAGTTAGGGTCCAGATTGGGAATCAAAACTAGGAGTTCTATTCCTGCCTGTGCCTGTATGGGATCTTGGGCTAGTCACGTAGGCCCAAATTTCAAGTGTCTACTAACTTTTTGTTGTTGTTTTTGAGTGACCCACCTGAATGCCAGAGGTGCTGAGCAATTGAACCTGCCATTGACTTGCAAAATCTGATATTTACAAAACATCCATCCCTGTTATATAAACTGTCCTAATTTGCAAGTGACCTATATTTAGCCTCACTCTCACACAGGTATTGCTTCAGGTGGCATCCTCATTTCTCAAGCATATGTTGTGATTAGCAAATTAAAAAAAGGAAAACAAAAATGTATTTCAACATGACTATGAGTCTCCCAAGGAGTACAACACCCATGAGTGCCATGACTCAGTGAGGCAAAATTAACCGCAGGGAAACTTCAGGTTGATAAATAACAGGAAAAGGCACAATATGCCTGTGCAGTTCTTTTCTTGGCCTGTCTTTTAAAGACACTGTTTGCTTTTGCCCTGTCCATACAGGTTTGAGAGGAGTTATGTTTAAGGCCTATGTTTAAGGCTCTGTGTACATTTGACTTTGTTTCCTTTAGATTTCCCACCATTGCTACCATCGGTCGCTAGTTAGTGTTGCCAAACTACCAGCATATTAATAACCATCTCAGCACAGGTCTAGCAACCCGATGGCTAAAACCCTGGTGAATGCTGGCACCTACCTCATTTATGCTACCAATTGCATGATTATTACCAACATGGGAGCTGCCTCTGTGATAGCAATAGACAGACAAATTTCAGGTCAACTATTGCCAACTCCAAGTGTTCAAACATCACAAGTCAGATCCTCCTCAATTGTAACTTTAAAAAAAATAATTAATGCTCGGGTCTCTTTTTGTTTTCTGTTCAGGCTTTGAGCCTTAAGGTGAACTCAGGTCACACTTTCAACTTTCCCCCCCACTTTGTTTAAAAAAATGGACAGCTGAGTCTTCCATAGTCACCTGACTTTAAGAAAAACACCTGAGACGTGAGGTAAAAGGACGAGAGCTGGCAAGGCGGCTAGTGTAGACAGGACCTAACGTCTGTGCCCGCTCAGCCAGTTGCTAACAATGTGAGGCACTCTAGTCCTAGCTGGCCCAAGGCTCTGATTGCAATGAGTAGGGGCAGCACTAGGCCCAGTATGTGGTGTCTATGGGCCCAGAGAGGCTCCTGCCAGACTCTCTACAGCAGCTGGGGCTGCTAAGAGACCCCTTCCCCCCAGTCTCACAACTGCTCCCTCCCCACCCCTTCCCCAGGCCAGCCAGGGGACCCTCTCGGCGTTTGCCCCTCCCCTACTGCGCCGCACTCAGCCAATCAGCGGCCGCCTTTCCCCCCAGCGCGCTTTCTCTTCCTGCCTTTCCCTCTCCTTCCCCCCCCACCCCTTTGCAGCCGGTGACAGCTCGGAGCGAAGTCTCGCGAGAGTTAGGCAGCAGAGCCCCCACCCCCTCGCCCGCCCTCCCCGCCGTGCTCCTCCCCGCGCCCCTCCTGCCGCCGCGGCCGGATCTGTCTCAGGGGTGGGGGGGCGCTTGGCCCTGCGCACTGAGCGATGTTTGTCCGCCATCGCGGCGGACGAGGGTGAAGGAAACGCCGCCGCCGCCGCCGCCGGAGATAGGGGCCTGCGCCACCGCCGCCCAGAACCCCCCGTAGCCGCCTCCCTCCTCCCCGCCCCGCACACCCCGGGGGCCGCCGCCCGGAGTGAAGGTCGCCAGGGGCTCCTGCCCGGGGTCTCCCCGTAGCCCCCCCCCTCACCCCGCAGGAGGCGCCGCTCGAGCCGGGTCCGAAGATGTCGAACCTGAGCAAGGGGACGGGCAGCCGGAAGGACACCAAGATGCGGATCCGAGCTTTCCCCGTGAGTACCCGGGCACCGGTTCCGCGCCAGGCCCCGGCCTCCGCCCGGCCGCAGGCCCCGCAGCCGCCCGGTCTGTCACCCTGCTCCCCGCGGGGGGCGGGCTGGGGGCGAGGGGGAGAAACTCCGGGGATGCGGGGGAGGGCAGGGGAAAGGAGTTGGGGGCTGGGGAGCCGGGGAGAGGAGGATGACACGCTCTGTGCCCCCATCTGTTATCAGCACAATGGAACCTGTCACCGTGGCCAAGCGGGGGAGGAAGGACCGGGACTAGGGGACGGTGGCACGGGTGCTGACTGGGGGGACGGTGGCACGGGCACTGACTGGGACTTGGGAACGGTTGCACGGGTACTTACTGGGGACTGGGACTTGGGAACGGTGGCACGAGCACTTACTGGGGACCGGGACTGGGAGGATGGTGGTACGGGCACTCACTGGGGTCTGGGACTTGGGAACGGTGGCACGGGCACTTACTGCGGGGGTGGTGGCACGGGCACTTACTCGGGACCGGGACTGGGGGGCGGCGGTACGGGCACTCACTGGGGACTGGGACTGGCACTCGGGGCGGCGGCATGGGCACTCACTGGGGACTGGGACCTGGACTGAGGGGTGAGTGAGGTGGCAGCATGGGGATTTGCTTGGGGGAGAGGGGAGACAGTGGAAACACTTACTGAGGGGGCCGGCACGGGCACTTACTGGGGACTGGCACCAGGACGGGATTGGCTGCATAGGCATTTACTGGGGACTGGGGTTGTGGGTGGTGGTACTGGTGCTCAGTGGGGCGGCGGTGGCACAGGCACTGGAGGCTTGGACTGAGGGACAGGTGGCAGCACAGGCACTCACTGGGCACGAGAGCTTGGGGGGGCACATTACAGACACTGGGGATTGGGTTTGGGGGCCAGCAGCACAGGCACTTACAGGGGACTGGGGGAGTGCACATTACAGATGATTGGGGGGACCCTCCATCATAGCAAGAAGCATGCAGAGGAACCTGCACCGGTGGTGGTTCTTCCTTCTCATAACCTATGCAAATATGCTATGAAAATATATTTAATGCAGTTTCCAATGAAAGGCTCTCAGACAAGGAATCAGAAGTTATAGATGTATGTAAACAAAATAAGGAGTTTTATAAATCCATCTCTGGGCAAGTTTTTCTGCATATGGGAGACTTCATGTTGTAGGGATTTTAGGTCAGATGGTAAAATGTCAGGTGACATGAAGAGTTGGTAGCAACATAGCCTCTGTGTAACTTTCATAGGATTGTTTCATATATCCAGCTGTGAGATTACCAGCCACTTTAGTTACTGAGTGAATGGGCCTAGTTATTAACTTATACTGCCATAAATCTGTGCTGGTGCTTCGACAGTTTCTTCAGTTGAAGGTTAGAGCACATGAATGTGAAGACTGCTGTTAATGGTTTCTAGCATTACAAGAAATATGAAAACTTCAGTCATCATTCGTGATTTCCTGCAAGTAAGTGTGTGTGTGTGTGTGTGTGTATACACACACACACACACACACACACACACACTACTTAAGTAAAAGGAGACGCTCTGTTGAGTCTAGTT